AAATATTATTAGTCTCAATCTTCGAGTTGATTTATTCAAAACTTTCAATTGTTATTTACTCAAAAACTGAAATTTATTTTATCTCAGAGGGTCATTTTCCTAGCAAAAACCCCATATACCGAACTTGCCCACTTCTTCCACTATCTCGCTAGTTGTTATAACAAAACAAAATTTTTAAGCATATTTTTGAGAGAAAGAGAGAAAGAACGTCATAACGGACCAATTTATTAAAAATCAAAATTTCAACTAGGAATGATTATGATAACTCATTATCAAACGAAATTTTTTCTCAGGAATTCAAAAAAATGGATACTGATTTATATATATATATATGTTTTTCGATTTTTTTTTTTTTTTTTTTTTTTTGAAATAAATCTTTAATTCCATGAATTAATTTTCTGACAATAATAAAAACTCTTTTTATCAAGCATACTTCTTATTCTCCCTAATATTTATATCTAAAATGCATCTCTAACATCATGAAAATCTTTCGTAAAAAAAAATTGTCAAAAATCAATTTATTGTACCAAGAATATACTGAAATTCCGATCTGTTTTCATCATTTTTTCCTTAATCTATTTCCTTGTCCGCCTGCTTATTGGATGTTCAAAGATCCATAGCAAAAGAAGAGTCAAAGAATATTGTCTGTATTTATGAATGCAAACTATGATCGACGCGGATTTGATATCATGACCAATGTCGTTGAACTCTTCCCAATTTAAGAAACCTATAATCGATACATACTGTATCATCGAAATTATTACTAAAGTTGTAAGTGTTAATAGAATTAAAAGGTAAAAGAACTTCTTTCGTCAGGAAAGATGAATTAATCGGTTTAATTATTTATACTAAAGTCCAACTTATTCTTATTCTTCTCCATAGAACAGTATATTATAAAATCTATGTAAATTGTGCATCACGGGTATTAAACCACCCTCTTTGGAACCAAAAGGTAAAATCACCTTAATTAAATCCTGAGATCATAAAGATATTTGTTTCTATAGCCGTTGAATGTTGAAGGAGATATAAAACTTGTTCTCAATTCATCTGCAACATCAGCAATTAATTTGCCCACATCCATATATTGATCAAGAGTCTGATTGATGATTGATAGACCATGCTTTGCTTGATGATATATCAAGAGGTTCTATACACGTTTATAATACTTTGATGAAAGTATTTTCACCAAATCAACAATTTCCTTTTCTTTTGTTGTTAACGTTGAATTATTGGACTCTCCTTCCCAATCATCATCCTCAACACCTCGATTTTCATCATTGTCTATCAATTTTTTAATTTCAAGTTGACATTTTTAATAATTTCAGTATTTCTTTACATTTAATCGTAATAGCTTGTTTAATATAAGATAACAGTTTTGAAGTGTCACTCTCCATGTTCTTTCGTTTAAAAGGTATCATGACATCATAAAACGTCTTCCAGGAACCCAATCTTCGCATCATGTTTGGATTTTGATAAGAATGGTTCCATTTTGGGTTGATCAGGTTTAGCATCTTGAATAAATAGGGCAAATGATGAAAAGTCGAACTTTGTAAAATTGTTCAAAATATTGTAACTTTTTTTTTTTAACTTAGAGTGGAATAATTGATGGGAATATTTATACCCACCATTTTTCGCGTATGTAATTATTCTTGTAAAAAATGGATATTCTGTCTGAAAACCATCAATACGTTTTTTTTTGTAATTAAAAAAAAAAAAAAAAATGATAGTAACTTCATGATTGGATATTTTTCCACGGTAGCAAAAAATCCACCAATCAAATGCATTGCTCATAGTTACCGTAATTAAACTTTTGTTGTTGCAAACTATATACTGGATGGCAAGCCTTCAGGGTAGTATAACGGTAGGATCATGCGATTAAGAGTAAATTCTGCCTATATGCTATCGGTACAAAAAAGAAATAAATAAATAAACTTAAAATCATTCCACGGCTAAAGTATAATTGTCATAATTTGTTGTATAATTTATAATAATTTATTCACTCTAAAACGAACCATTACAAACATTTATAACTTTTTAAAATTTTGCAGGTTAAATTTAAGGTTATAATTTAAAGTTTTATTGAAATCGATAATCCATCAAGTGAATACAAATTAAAACTCATAGTGGCTCAGAAAATTTCGAAGAAAAAAAAATTGGCCTGACATTTATTAGATGATTTACGAAAAATTACGTTCATTTAATATCACGAATCGCTTGCTCGATAAAATGATAATTATTTAATCAACTAGAACATACCTGGATTGAAGAAGTAATGTTCCAAATTATCGGTTGCTTTGTTGAAAAGTTCATTTTTGCAAATACAAGAGACTTGAGTACACAGCATAGTTTTGCTTTAACTTCACGGTTGTTTTTGTTTCAGAAAAACTGGACCACAATTCTTTTCTTGTTTGGAAAATAAACTAAAATACTTTGGCAAATCACTATTATCACATTTAAAAGAGGATGTACCATAAGCATTGGAATTTGGATAATTTGAAATGACGAGTGTATTAAAGGTAGATTTGGGTAAAGTAACATAATGATTAGTTTTATTCATAAGCGGACGCGTATATTCCGATATTATGGTTCTTAGTTTTTATGTATTAGTTATTTACCGCGAAATCAGAGATATCATCAGGCGTCACGGCGCAGCCGTGACCCTGATGATGTTCGGCGATTGAGCGGTAAATAAATATTATATTTCCCGATTACTAACGCCCGTGATAAGAAAAATCACATGAATTATGTAAGTCACATGTTATTGTAACGT